CTTCAGAGCAAACTTCTCACGACTTTTCTCCATAAACTGCTGGAAGGAAGAAACCACGAGCCCGACTCTCTTCCCTTGGGGCCCAATGGCTACTAGATTCATCTTCTTCTCCATCTCTCTTCCTCTTATTCTTCATTATATTTTCACGAGATCTATTCCCTCTTTATCTCCCCTTCCTCTACTCCATCAGTTAAGTCTATCCGCCTTTGTTCCTCATTTACTTATTATTTGACGACTTCATCTTCTTCTCTCCACATCACTCGGTTATTATCGCTTGTTTTCTCTTACTTCCTCCAATTATTTCGTTGTTATTTCTCCCTTTTCACGAGAGGAGGCGACGCGTTTCCTGCTTTGGATTCTGGTTTTGTTTTGGTTTGATTCGGGTTTGTTTACATGCTGTCAGCCTGAGTTGCTTCTTTCTCTTTTTATCTGGAGATTATTTTCAAGAATTTTGGAATATGATTTTGTGTGAAATATAAATCATATGAATGTTTATTTATTTTTATATGTTTTGATATAGAGTTTGTACGATATTTGTACGTTATTTAGTAGGAAGAAAAGGGAATATAATAGGATAAATTGCTACTGTTTGAGACTGATTTAGATAGTAAGCTAAATTTAGCGCTTTTATTTAGCAGCTTTTTGATGAAGAAGAAAATCAACTGAGAATGCAAGAGAAAATCATTATTATTCGATCTCAGTCATATAAATCATACTGAAAAGATTACGATCGTTATTGTTACTGTACAAATTATTTCCATTCTGTATACATACATACATATATACATACATACATACGTACACACACACACACACACACACACACACACACACACACACACACACACACATACACACACACACACACACACACACACACACACACACACACACACACACACACACACACACACATACACACACACACACACACACATACACACACACACACACACACACACACACACACATATATATATATATATATATATATATATATATATATATATATATATATATATGTATGTATGTATATATGTATGTAGGTAGGTATATGTTATATATATTTATGTTTTTTTCGTAAAGACACATAAAACTACCAACTGTTTATAACAAATTACTTACTATGCTATATTTCTATTATGCTATTTCTATGCTATATACATTTCTGTTCAATGCTGTTCACACATGTTAAATCAGTAAGATACTCCACTATCTATGCAAATGCATAATCATTCATCGTACCGGCCGGGTTCAAGGTATTATACGTACATCTATCCAGGTAATTGGTAAAAAGAAAAGAAAAAAAATGGGAGATGGAAACGTCATTAGCCAACTTATAATGAATAAACTTATTCTTATCTACATATATGTCACGGCTATCGATATATTTATTTGTATATATCATCATCTTCATCAAAAAGACCCATGGGATCTTTTAATAGATACTCTGTCTCTCGAGTCAATGTTCTTCAAGTGATTTCATTGACGTAAAAGTAGGTGTCTTCATTGTTCCGTCAAATTACTGTTATTTTGTTCACTGTCATATTATGTAGGAATAACAAATCGGATTACTTAAAACACTGTGCAAAAAAGAACTTAGAGATATATTTAGTAAAAATACTTACAAATTGACGATGGTTCTTTAGCCCGGCGCCTCTGACTTCGGGGGAAACGCGCGCTGGAATCTGCCGTTTATTAAGATATTGAAATAATCTTCCGCCTCTTCGTATAGCCTTTACCAGCCATTATGCCCTTTTCCCAGTACGAGTTCTTAGAGTTTCAGCGGTGTTGATTGGGGGATATGCAGACATTTATATAGATATATAGGTATTTCGATACATACGTGATATACCGCCATAAGCGAGGCACTCATCCTCCTCAAAGGGAAGGCTGCAACTGCACCGGCGTGGCTCTCCTTTTGGCTCTGTCCTGAGCCAGTCTCCTGTCAGGGAGAGGACTCAGGGCTGGAAGCGACGGCAAAGCAGACCCGGGATTCCTTCTTCGGCCGCAGCTCCTGCTGTGAAATCCTCTGTCGTGCTGCAGCGCCTCACCATTTACGGCAGGGCTGGTCGTCCCTGAAACCCTCCATCCCCCAGTTTGGCGGGACAATCTAAACCCACTCTGCCTGGATGCAATTTAGCGTTATACCCAGGACAAATATATATATATATACATATATATATATATATATATATATATATATATATATATATATATATATATATATATACATATATATATATATATATATATATATATATATATATATATATATATATATATATATATATATATATATATATATATATTTGCCTTTTGAAATAGTCCTCAACCTGTGTCTTCGCTAGACACTAGCGCGGCGCAGCCCCGCCGCCCAGAGCCCTCTCAAGAGCGCTCTGCATGTAATTAAAGATGCCCTCGTACAGGCGGCCGTCCAGGTAGGCCTTGCTCATCTCCAGCACCATTTGACCATAGCAGTGTAGTCCGGAAACTGAAACTGCATGTCGTCGTATGTGATTTAAGGACATTCTTATCAATACAAATAATTTAAACGCATTGAGAAAGCTGGCGTTATTAAAACAAGTTGAGGCTTGAAAATGACGCCATTGGTGCATTCAGAGAGTTGAAAATGACGTCAGCAAAGAGAGAGAGAGAGAGAGAGAGAGAGATTATTGTTATTATAATAATTATGGCAATATATATATATATATATATATATATATATATATATATATATATATATATATATATATGTGTGTGTGTGTGTGTGTGTGTGTGTGTGTGTGTGTGTGTGTGTGTGTGTGTGTGTGTGTGTATACATCCGTGCAAATGTGTGCGTGCATTCATACACATATACAAAGCAGTCTGTGGCATTAAAAGGCTTCAGGAGGCAGCCCTGAAAAAAATCCGGAGCCGGAGTCCCTGAGGCAGTTCGTTGTCGCTTGCGGCCTCGTTCTGGCCACTCCCGAGACGCCGCTGGTGCCAGACCGTATCGGTCTTTGCTGTTCCTTTGGATCCATCAGCTGCGTGGCGAGAGGAAGCCTACTGCATGAGCAACAGCCTGCTCCTCGCATTCCTTCGCCCAGGCATTGACGGGAGTGGGTAGAGGCAATACTGCCATAGTCGACATCGTGTGACGGCGGCCTTCGATACATCTACAAACATATTTGCACACAGAATCATTCGTCAGAAACGAGGAGAACAGGAGGCGAAGAAGGTCGCGGCCGGACGGGGGCGTCACTCCGCTCGCCAGGAGACCGGCAAGTCCCTGTCTGCATTAGGCGCGGCGGCTGCAGCGGCTGCAGCTGCTGAGACGGATGCGGCGGATGCGACGTCCACGATAGCTGCGGCGTCTGCGGCGGCTGCGGCGGATGCGGCGACTGTGGTGGTTGCGGCGGATGCGACGGCCAGCTCTTTCCGATTCTTGGCATACACGAAGCCTACTCTTAGTGCGTCCTTGCGGCCGTGCCTCAGAGTCACCTCCTCCTTCCGGAAATCCCAGACGGAGTCGAGGAGGAACGAGTAGCCCAGAGTGAAGTTGTGGATTCTCTCAGACGCGATCGTGTATCCCTTCACTCTCAAGATCCTCCCTTGAAAGTCCAGGTAAAGCTCCTCGCCCGCCACGCAGGCATGGATGGCCCTGGAGACCAGCTTGGCTTAGAGCAGCCGCAGGGAGCACTCCCTCGCGGCGGCCGCTGGCATGAGGCAGTCGCTGGTGCCTGTGTCGAGGAGGGCCATGAGCGCCTGGCCCTTCACCGCGCACGGCACGAAGAGATGACCCTGATTCGGGCGTGGTGACCTCGCCTGCCTGTCCAAGGCCATGTAAGGGTCAGTCGCGGTCAGGAAGACCTTGCACGAGAAGGTCTGAAGGAAGTCGCGCCCCAGGAGGCAATGCTCCAGCGATTACGTCACCATAAACTTGTGCATGACTTGCACCGTCTCCTTCCTCTTCCCAGAAACAGCGCGACGGTCACGAGGCCGCTCTTCCGGCACGTGCCATAGAAGAGCTGCACTGACGACGGCGTCGGCTGTATCTCCTTCTGGAGGCCGCACTTCTTGACAATCCGGAAGGGCACCTCCCTCTCCCTCTTCCTCTCTCTCTCTCTCTCTCTCTCTCTCTCTCTCTCTCTCTCTCTCTCTCTCTCTCTCTCTCTCTCTTTCCCTCCATCTTTCTTTCTCTCTCTTTCCCTCCATCTTTCTTTCTCTCTTTCTCTCTCCCTCTCCCTCTCTCTCTCTCTCTCTCTCTCTCTCTCTCTCTCTCTCTCTCTCTCTCTCTCTCTCTCTCTCTCTCTCTCTCTCTCTCTCTCTCTCTCTCTCTCTCTCTCTCTCTTTAAACCTTTATTTAATAATCTTACAGATATACATATAGGTTGAAACCAGTTTGTTTAAAAGAAAAAAAAAAACATTCAGGTTTCTTTTTGTAGGTTAAAAGTTACTTATCTAAAGGAGCTTATTTGAAATCCCATTTCTTTTATAAACAATAAACGTTAATTTATTAAGCTAACACAGACTTTAGAACTTAATTAATCCATAATAAGGTTATATACAATGTTTCTTATGTGTCACCATGAGGGCGTATGAGGTTGCGTTGTCATTTCGGCGACACCGATGGTGGATGTGAATGCATTCCACAGACGTGCTGCTCTGGCAGAGAAGGTGCGCTGATGCTGGCTCGACCGCGACCTCAGAACTTCCAACAGGAGCCGATTAGAGTGTACCGGCCTCGTACTTCTCTCTCGGCCGTGGGGTGGGAGACGGAGGCTGCTTAGATGAGGCACCTGCTGCACCTGAGCCTTGTGGAGCACCGTTAGAGCCCCGACGTCACGACGATGTTCCAGCGCGTCGATGGGGGGAAGATTGGTGGCTTCCTGGATAAGCCTGAGAGCCCGTTTTTCTATTTTATCCAGCCTGTTGCGGCTGGTGGGCGCAGTAGACGACCAGGCCAACGAGGCATATTCTAGGTGTGGTCTGATCTGGGACTTGTATAGCGTGAGAATTCCCTGAGGATTCAAGAGATGAGATATGCGTCGAAGGGCTGTCACCTATGTCTATACCGAGGACTGAGATCAAGTCCTCGAGTGGAAGGGCGGTGTTGTTCATTAAGATTGTGTCTTTCATGACGCCTGAGGTAGCTGGAGAGCGGGATATAACCATTGCCTGGGTCTTGTTGGGGGCAAATCTTACTTGCCATTGTGATCCCCATTCGTAGATTGCTTGCAGCTTTGAATTCATATTCGTTGCTATAACGTCATGGTCCTCACGCTGGTATGAAACAGAAAGTGTACAGTCATCGGCACATGTACTGATTTCAGGATGTTCCCTCAGCATATCAATATAAATATTCCAGAGGATTGGGCCAAGAACAGATCCTTGTG